TACATTTACATCATCGTCTACTAAAATATTTCAATGCGGGATTCACGAGGTAATGAATCTGTAACAGATTTTTGGAATTTCTTCACATAAATCTGCATTTCATCGAGCCAGTCGACCGAAACTGATCCCTTCTTGTGAAAATCGGGTCTCATACATTATTTATACCTTCTGTCACGCACATACATCTAAGTCTCGTTAACCTAACCTCAAATAACGATCCTAATTAAGATAAGGCAAATTACCTAGGTTAAAGCGCTTAATTCAAAGCAAAAAACTTCTAATCTCATTTGATTTTCGCTAGTTACGACTGAATGCTTTCCATACGGTTACTTGAAAGATTTACAACGATAATAACAACAATGCAAGTGTTGGGCAATTTTTATTATATTTTACTTACATTGTGTATTCGTACAAAAATTTCCTAAACCCGTTTCAAAAGGTATTTGCAAAAATAATGGAGATAATGTAGAAGATAAGCCGAATAATGATGTATGTAACTGTAGAATAACAAAGATTTATTGTTTTTTGAAATGAGTCTAACAACACAGTTACACACCTTGTAACATATTTGTGTTAGTGCAGCTAATTATATTTTTAACAAGGTGTACTTAACAAAGGTGGGAGGGGGAAGGCTCTTCAATTTTTAATATGATAAAAATTAAATATGAAATACCAGAACCAATTTTTTTTTTCGTATAATTCGCGATTATTGTCAGCAACATAATTGGTATATTAACAATATACCCTACAGTGATTGGTAGAATAACAATAGCAGTGGTACGAAAATATTTTAATTAAATTTTGCAGGACACAAAGAACAACCACTTTTTCTTTATATAAAGCAGATATAAACGTAGTTATAATAAAATAATTTTCTATATCAGTTCTTTCCTCTGTTCTTAATTAAAGAGCGACTAGCAATCAACATGACATAAAACTGGTGGCTACGCTTAAAATATTGATATGGAAATGACGAAATACCTCATTTCCCAAGCATTCCGCTCGTAAAATATGTCTCTATTCACCTTTACCATAAATAACTATTAATTTTGTACACATTTTTCCACTTTTTCTTGTGGGTTTGCCAACGTCGACAACGCGATAAGTCGACTGTTGCACTCTTGTTGCACAAATGTCTTCAGAAAAAACATGCACGGAGTGTTTTCGTGTATGTACCTCTCTTGTTTAATTTATTTGAAGAGATACAAAAAACCAGAAATGAAGTTTCAGGGTATATCCTAGTCAAAATTTAAATGAGCATCGTTGCTTTAAAATTCAAGTTTAAATATCACATCCTGTATATTACTGCGTATTTTAATGAAGAATAGAATATACCTACTTATTAGAAATAAATTTATAAAATATTTATTGGAATATGAAAGATATAGTATGCAATAAACAGAGATTTCGACTAGGAAGGGCATAAAACTTCAAGGAGTATACCTTAAGTAAAAATAAGTAAAAATGATTGAATATGCCTTAATCCGAAGCGAAGTTTTCGAGACAGGGGCCTCCAATTTTTTTTTTAAACAGAATAATTTTTTTTTATAACTTTTTAAGTAAGTGACATCATCAATTCGTATTGTTTAGTTTTCGTGACCTAAAACAGTGTCCGCACCTATGTCTAATTAAAAAAATTTTCAATTTTTTCATTTAACACTTTTTAATTAAGTGCCGCATTCTTTTTCTCAGTTAACGTACAAAGTTACATAACTGATAAAATAAGTCGCTTCCGTCGAAGTAATCCATCATAGTTATTTATTTTCTTTCGGCGTCGTTTAATAGTACCCGCAATTTTGCTTGGCACATTATTAATTAAATTAAATTAGTTGGTATTTTACTGATAGCTTATTTGTAAAAAAAACTCGTCTGCACTAATTCTCTAAATGTCATATACCTGTTGAGTCAAATGTTACATACCTCAAAACAAGTATTTTTTGTCGTTTTCTATATACCTATTAAGTTGGATTATTGGAGTAAAGAATGTGAAAAAACAAAAACTGTGTTTAATTATTTTGATTAATTATATATTCATTAGTAATTTTCAAAAAAAAAGAGAGAGAATTAAACTAATCAATTGGCGATGACAACTAATTGATTATGCAGGTAATTATTTCTTTCTATATTGTATATACCACTTTTATAACAAAGCACGTTAGATTTCTAAAACAGTATATCAAGAGGCTGCTGAGGTCAAGGCCATCTTTTCAGACTCGGGAATTTTGCTTATATCTGAATAGTATAGTGGTGAACAGATATGTGTATATGTCAAAATACTTAGAGAGAATTCTTATTTGTTTATATTTCTTCCATCTAAGAAATTCAATGCACAGATAATACGTACATATAAAGAGAAACTTATACAAGGTGTAATAAGAATTCGTGGCTACATTTAAAGCTGAAATCTAAGTTACAAATTAATAAAAAATTTCTTGTAAACACACACCGGGAACAAAATTTATGAAAGTATATGGTTTATTTGATGTAAATACCAATAAAGAAAAACTACTTAAATCAATTTTATTTCATTCACAGATAACCTGGTTTCTTGAATTATCATTATTTTAAAAATAACCTTTTACTATATATTAACAAATTATTATACTTAGCAACATGCAGGAAAGACACATATTTGTAAAGCATTTTGTACAGTTTATTGCTCTCATCATGATACTAAGTTAAGTTTCAAATATCTTGGAAAAAAGAAAAATTGTTACGAAAACTATGTAAAACTGTATGTAAAAAAAATTGCGGTATGTACAGAGGTATCACATAATCTATCCTTTTTATCTAAAATGGTACAAACTGAAGTTTATTGCTATATCAAGGAGATGTAGAAAAAACAGTTGAGCATGAGTATTATATTTTAAAGTCATCAGGTCATAGAAGACTAAACAATTTTTTTTATATAATAACTAGTTGTCGAAAAATTTTTTAAAATTTTTTACAGTTTAGAGACGCCAAACTGATCAAGAAAACATTAAATAGTATACCTACATTAGTTTATGTTTAAAATAAGATTGATTATTTAATAAATTTTTAATTTTGATTATTAATTGAGAAAATATCTAATTAAAAACATCTTAGTTAAACAAAAGTACCTATGCGTATACTTGTACACATTAAATATTTTCTTAATTAATAATAAAAATTAAAGATTTATTAAACAATCAATCCTATTTTGAAAATAATCTAATGTAGGTAAGTATACTATTTAATGTTTTCTTGATTAGTTTGGCTTCTTTAATCTGTAAAAATTTTTTTAAAATTTTTCGACAACTACATTTAATTGTTATATAAAAAAAATTTAGCTTTGTATGACCTGATCTAGAGGTGTGATTTTGACCTTAAACTAGTAGACGTATGTAATTAATTTTGCAATAAGGTATTATGAGACTTGAAGACTTTTTTTTATATTCCCATTATACCCAAGACAATTTTGTATTTATTCATTTTACTGAGTATTAAATAAATCAAAATGATGTAAACTGTTCAAGCAAATGTATGACTTTTACTTTTGTGTGTCGTTTTAATCAGAGAAAAGACAGAATTTCAAAATATGTACGGTGCACCAACTATAAAAAGAACTAGTTTATATATCTCCGGGATATAACAATTTTTGAGAGTAGTTGAAAATTTTATAAAATTCGATATTTCTATATACCTACGTACATAGAAGCCCAAAAAGAATAAGAAGCCCGAAAAGTAAGGATGACCAATCAAACACTAAAACTGAAATGACAACCGTTTCAGACGCTTTCTTGTTATTTAAAATAACACGATTTAATTTTAAAACTTTAAAACTCGGTATCTCGAAAATAAAACGTTTTCATAAAGGAACATTTTCCTTATTTTGTGACTCAGAATACGTCTGCCAAGTTTGGCCAAGTGGTTTAGTTACTTCAAATATAAATTGTACAAATGTAAGGAAATAAAATAATTTTAATAAAGTAAAAATAATCCGAATGTAAATAAAATGGCTTTTTTCTTAATTTTCTAAGGTATTTCAGAAAAGATTTTCTTGTTACCGTTTATCTGCCAATTATTATAGAAAATGTACAGAATAAATTTCAGTGTAAGAATATCTAAAAACGACCAAATATTAAATATACAAAAAAATAAAATAAATAAAAAAATATTTCCGAATTAAAAAATACAGGGTGTCTCGAAATTAATGGGACACAGAGCAAGGGTAGATTCCTTACATCAAAATAATGCGATTAAGCCAAACTTACCTTGGTTCATATGTGGCTAATAAAAAAGTTTTTTTTTTCGTAAAAATCTAATCTTTTTTAACAAAAAATGTTAAATAACGAAAAAAAGAAAAAGTGAAGGGAATATTTTTTTAATTATAAAAATTTAATGTAGCCACCTGAATGTTATTAAATTATTATTAAAAATAATATTTAGTTTTTTACGTAAGTAACTACAAACTTTTATTTTATTTTAATGCATCCAATAGAAAAACAAGAAATAAATCGAAAACGGTTAAATTTATCGACATAAAACAAGTATCCCTTATTTGTGAAAAATAGATAGGAGAACAATATTTTTCTATTAAAACTTTCGTACACACACTGATAAAAAAGTTATAACCAGTTTTTATCAACCAAGAGTACATTTCGTAGCGCCCTCTAGCGTCTACAGCAAAATTAAGTACGGATTTATTTTTCTCGTCCCAGAAAACCCCTTAATCCAAATTTTCAAAAGAATCCTTTGAAAACTTTCTAAGAATTTTAAGAATTTCGAATTCAAAATTTGAACTTTAACGCCCTGTAACTTTTCTATTAGCCACAAATGGACCAAGGTAAGTTTGGCTTAATCGCATTATTTTGATGTAAAGAATCTACCCTTGCTCTGTGTCCCATTAATTTCGGGACACCCTGTATACCTACACTATTTTAGTTATGTAAATTTTACTGGTTAAAATGAACATATGCATAAAAACTTCACAATTCTTTTCGGGAAAATTGCAACAATTTTTTTTATCAGTCACTCACCGGACTCTGCTGCTAGCGCCCTTCCCCGGGGGCGGTCCCACCGTCGCCTGCAAAGTCACATTCCGCGCATTCCTCAGCTCATAAATAGTCTTATTCTGGGCGGCCGCCGCGGCGGCCAACTGACCCGCGCTGGTCCTGGGCAGGCGCGAGGAGACGCCCAGGGCGCCGGCGACGCCCGTCGCGACAACCAAGAGCAGGCACCACCCGGCACCCCTCATGGCTAACAGGAGTCAGCAGCACTCAAACACTCAAAAAAAAAATCAGCACAAGTCACTGGGGGTCGTATCAATCACCCTCGCTTCGCCCTCGATAGTCCTGAAGATGACGGTCCGGTGGAGATGAAACGTCGACAGTGTGTCGTGTGTGTGTGTGTAGCGTGTGTGGACGCACCTGTCTCTTGCCTCAATGGGTATTTCTGTACTACTGACCAGCTTTGGCGAGACACGCTTTTGGCCGGGCTCGCTTTGGCTTTACTTTCACTCCGTCGTAGGTAGCTTTGAGATCGGCGTTGTCGGGTCTGATGAGAAATACGCTGGTGCGATATTTAATGGGATAGGACGAGAATTAGATTGAGAATGTGTGCCCGTGCTGAAATCGAGAAGCATTAACTCGACGAAAAATTCTCGAGCTTTTAGTTTTTCCGTGCTTTTAAATCAACTTTTTCGGTTCTTAGAAAAAAAGTTTATATAAACGTTTGTCCGAAAATGTTTCGTTTCTGAGATACAGTGTTGAAATTAAAATTAAACAAAATCATTATTACAACAGCTGCTGAAAGTGGCTACCCGCGACATTAATATCTACAAGCTTCTTTCTGCCCTCCTCACAAAGAATCCCATAGCCTACTTTTGAACATACAATTCTCAACAACTTCATTAAGGGACTCAGCAAATTGCATCTTTGACGAAATTTGCAAATTTCTTGAAAACGGCGGCTTAAAAAAGATGTAGGAATATGGATTATTCATAAAAAATCGCACAAGTCTTCTGTCAAAAAAGTTAAGGCAAACTAAAATTAATAATAAAGTGCTGCACAAAAATTAATACCAAATTATGCTTTCTCACCTCAAAAAACCCCCGGTTACCAAATTTTGTGTGAAAAATTTCTTTCGTAAAAATTATTTAAAAAAATCGAAAATAAAATTTTAATTTCAACACCCTGTATCTCAGAAACGAAGCATTTCCGTACAAAGCTTTATAGAAACTGTTTTTCTTAGAATTAACTCAGGAAGCGATCTAAACAATTAAAAAAACAATGTCAGAGGACCATCTGCAAAGAGACCAACCTCGGCATTTTTGGACGAAGACGAATTATGTCAAATCGAGAATGAAATCATCCCTAGAATTTGCTATCTTCGTTTGTCTGTTCAGTTTCCGGATAAACTGTATTTAGAAAATGTGATATAGTTTCCTTATTTGAACACCCTGTATGTCTAAAACGATTCGTACTGATTCTTATGTTTGGTTAATTAAACCTGAAACGTCCTGTAGATACAGTAATCTATTAAATCTTTTTAATTTTATGGTGACCCAAACGGGCGATCAAGACAGTAACCCCAATAAGTATCCGAAGAAAATTATTTGTTGATATTCAAATTTTCATGATTAGTAATAAACAATTATCTCTAGACGTTTGTATTTAAACAAAAAATTTCAGTTGTTTTACATCTCTCTATTGTCTTACTATATTTTATTTTCAAGTATCAAGCTTAGAGGCTACTAACAACGAATTAAAATCAAATTAACCAAATCTGTTCAACAATGTGATAATATAACGGTACAAACGTAAGCAAAATAGTTATTAATGTGGATCGTCTTAAAAAACTTTATTTTAACAACCAACAACATTGCCCAAATTAAAAATGGAAGATTTTTCTCGCATACGGTATACCCTAGCCACTCAAGAGTCCCTCTTTAATTTAGAATATTTTGATATTAAAAATACCAGAGTCGAAGATAAAAAATATATACCTACCTACCTAATTAAAAATATCAGCTTAGCCTCCCAAAATGATTACAATTAAAAGATCATTTTCACATCAAAAAGCTGTCCGTATACCGTTAACACATAACCTAATTTGTATATATCTAGATAAACAGCGATCTAAATAATTAAAAAAGAAGATGCTATGAATCTGCTATCTTCGTTTGTCTGTAGTTTCCGGACACCCTGTATTTAGAAAATGTGAAATAGTTTCCAAATATCAACACCCTGTATGTCTAAAACGAGGTGTACTGAATTTTATTACATCCCGTAGATATAAGAATCTATTAAACCTTTCAATTGTATGGTGACGCAAACGAGCGATCAGACAGTAACTCCAATAAGTCTACCAAGAAAAAATTATTTGTTGATATTCAAATTTTTTTTATCAGTAACAAACAATTATCTATATATGTTTGTTTTATACCTCTCTATTGTCTTATTCTATTTTACTTTCAATTATTAAGTTTCCAGCTACTAACAACGAATTAAATCAAATTAAATCTAATAAGTCTATTCATCAGTAATAATATTTTAACGATCGAGGCTTTCAAATTATGTAAATATTTGTGCTAATTTAATTAATCTTATCTGTAACAACTAATAGTATCTTAATTAAACAAAATAGTTACATAAGTAGGTATACTGCAGCAGGTTATAGTTTTTGAGTTGCTTTATATCGTATATGTTACCTTGTAAGGCAGCATCATAAATATAAGATATTCCAGGAACATCAGGTCATCTTTTAATGAATACGATTTGGACTAAGTTATTTAATAAGCTTAAGTATGATTGAGAAATTAGAGAAATTTATTATCACACATCATTTTTTTTACCTCTTAAAATCTAAGCATATCAACGAATTTTTTATATTCGTAGTGTCAAAAATAAAAAATGATCAAATAGCCGGAAAAAGGTTAACTAATATTAACTATTAATGAAAACTAGAGCAAGACAATAAACATTATTCAAACAAACTTCTAGTAATAAGTTTAAACATTCTAATTCTTGTCTCTGTTACAAACTTGCGACATGACATTCCGTAGATGAAAATGAGGTAACTAGTTTTATTCTCTTTGGTAGGTATTACTTAGTTAATTGACGAGAATTGGGTTGCAATAATAAAAAATAATAATATTGAAAATACCATTAAATGTTTTATTGAAAATATTGTTTAATTTAATATATTCTTCATTTTAACTGAAAAAGTGACATTTTAAGATTTTCAGAAAAGCAAAATAGCATATTTTTAATGTACCTAACAGGTATATTATATTAAAAAATGTTTAAGTGGCTGAAAAAAAACATAAAAATACCTTTCTATTTGTTTGAATATTGAAATATGTAGGTTTACATACACAAAAGCATATGTATACCTACTTGGGGCATATTGTTAAAAATTAGTTTAATTGTTACCAATATTTAGGTATATGACTAATTTCCTTTCATCATTTCGATAAATTCATAGAAATATTTTAAGTATTGCAAGACATTTGCCTCATAGTCCATTTGTACTTTCTATTTATGCTGTTTGTAGATATAAAAACTATTTCATTCAATTATGTCAATTGTTATTCCTGTTGACCAATTAAACTTTGTGCAAATAGAATACACAAAATTAAATTTTTGGCTTCGCATTTTTTACCTGTGGTTGTTGACCGAAACAGTCGCCGCAGCAACGAGTACACAACAAATTAATCTCGTTAACCCAGTTTTTTCGATGCAATAGTTTGTTCTACAAAGTGTTGCAAAATGCACAAGACTAATTAATGTGTCGATAATTGATTTAATTGAAACGTCCACTTAAAAATATCAAATATTCGGAAGATTTCATCAGGCAAACGTCAGGGAGAAAGGAATGTATGTATTTGTTGGAGACATCTTTTACTTCAGGAAAACATGATGAAAATAAACAAGTTCCGGAAATGGTAAAAGAAGTGACTTAACTTAGAAGTAGTCAAGCTATGGAGTTTAAGAACAAAGACAGCATCCACCTTTCCTTAATATTTAAGAATAAGAAGAGCCCTAGCCAAATATTTGTTTTCCTCAAACAGGTTGGAAGAAGGAACAAATATCGATTAATTTCTCTGCGCAAAAGCTGCCGTTTTTCGCGACTGGATGACTTTGGTGGAAAAATTATTATTTTAAAACTTGTAAACTAACTTAACTGTACAACTGTCCTTTTAATTAATAGTGGTGGCTGAGAGAAACGCGAAATTGACAGCATGCTCAATAGTTTAAGTATGATTTTTCTCTTCTTAGGTCTGTGGTTCTACACTACACAGTAAGAAATATCGGACTTATTTTCACTCAATTTCACTGGATAATGTATCAATTTCTGTCCACCCGATTGAGCAAAAGTTGAAGTTTTCAAAACCTTGATTAGATTTTCTCTTTGCTTTGAGTGACGATTTCTCAGCGACAGATCATCGCACAATGCTCTTGAACAGCTAAAATTAAAGACGATAAATCTAACTAAAAGAACTGATAGATGGAATTACCCAAAGAAAGTATGCAAAGCCTGTGGACCTTTTGAAAGTGAAACAAAAATTTTAAAAATTTTTTCCGCTGGATTTCTTACGATTTCCTAAAAGTGGTCAACTGTAAAAAATTTTGACTTTCAGATTCTAAAACTATAAACTTCAAGCTTCCATTCGCTTTTTTGTTTATTCCTCTACGACCATTTTTCGGCAAGTTACAGCCATTTGAAAAAATCTTTTCACTTATCTGGTGACCCCAACGAGCGATCAAAACGGTAACCCCAATAAGTATTCGAAGAGAATTTATTTGTTGATATTCAAATTTTCGTTAGCTCTTTCCATACTTTTTCTGGGTGGGCTACTGGGTTGAAATACCCTCACTTCACCTTCCCGCAGAGCTCTAAGTCATATCTTTCAAACTGGCGCGATGCCGTACTTATACCTAGTTGTTACATGATCGACACCATTGAAAAATCCGGTTAAGAAATGTCGGAACTCTTCCGCCTAAGGGCGATAGCCGGCAACGCGGCGCGAAGCGGCGGATCGCAGGTGCTCCTGCAAGTCGAAATAAACGAGCATCAGCTGGTGCGGGGTCATTGAGCTCGGACCGGCGTTCATTCAAGATTCACTCTTCCACTCATCCTAGGTCAGAGTTGCGTCAGCAATTGTCGGCGGAGTACTCCACTGTGCCGTGAACGGATCGTGACGTGTGCGGGTCATACGTCGGCCGGTCTACGGTCGAGCTGTGCGTGCAGGAAAAAAATCTAGTGAAGGTCGATTCTCAATTAAATTGACAGGATATATTTTTTGTATTGTTTTGGAAGTACCTAAAATTGATGGATAGCACGACAATTAGGATCAAGACATCAAAAGGAAAGAAGAAATAGAAGGATTTATAGTTTTTAGCTACTGTGATGAAAAAACAAACGAAGAAAATCTTGGAGCAGGT